GGAACAGTCTTTATCATCCGAATGCCTCGTTCAGCACAATAGTCCATGAACTCTGTGCTAATGTACTCCCCTCCGTTGTCCGATTTCAAACATTTCACCTTCAAACCAGTTTCAAGTTCAACGGCAGTTTTCCATTTCTTAAAAACATCAAATACTTCGTATTTACTTTTAAGAAAATAAACCCATACCTTGCGTGTGGCATCGTCTATGAAGGTCACATAGAATCTCGAGCCTCCCAGGGATTCAACTCGCGTTGGACCAAAAACATCTGAATGAATAAGCTCTAACTTCTGAGCTTTAGGTACTCTCCCCGTCTTCACAAAAGATACCCTCTTTTTCTTTCCATAAACACACGGTTCACAGAATTCAGATTCAACTTTCTTTAGGTCTGGAAGCTTTCCTTTGGCTACAAGCATTTTCATCCCCTTTTCACTCATATGGCCGAGTCGTTGATGCCACAACTTGGAGAGACTCAGCCCATTAGTTACTGCATTTGCATCTCCTGCAGTTGTCTCAGCCATGTACAAAGTACCCTGTTTCTTTCCCTTAGCAATTACCATACTTCCCTTGACAACCTTCCACTGTCCAGCCCCGAAGTGAACATTATACCCCTGGTCGTCCAATTGCCCAATGGAAATCAACATCTTTCTCAATTTGGGAATTACCCTGACATCTTTCAATGTCCAAATTGTTCCCAAGTTGGTTTTTAAGTCAATATCTCCCACCCCAGTAATATCCAACGTTTGATTATTAGCAAGACTTACAGTACCAAAGTTGCCTTGTCTGAGATTCTTCATCTTTCTCGAATTAGAGATAGCATGAAACGACGCACCTGAATCCATAATCCAGGACTCAACTGTGTCCTCTACACAGCAGATTAATACATCGTCAGAATCTGAGGTTGTGACAGCATTCACCTCTTTCTTGTCGCTAGGTGGTTTGGTGCACTGATTTTTAAAGTGTCCGTACTCATCACAGCTCCAACACTTGATGTCGCTTCTTGTCTTTGAACTCCCTCTCCTGCCTTTGGACTTAGATCTTCCCCTGTAACTGTTTCTCCTCTCTTTCTTTCTACCTCTTCCCTCAGTGCTCAGCAGAGAACTTGATGGTTCACCTGTATTCTTTCTCCTGATGTCTTCTCCTAAGATAAAATCACGGATTCCCTCAAACGCGAGTGTGGTGTTTCCAGCTGAACCACTAATAGCCGTGACTGATCCTGACCAACTATCCGGTAAAGAAGATAAAAGAAGCAAAGCTTGTACCTCATCATCAAATTTGATATCTACTGATAGCAAACGGGATATAATGGTATTGAAAACATTGATATGAGTAGTAACAGAACCACCTTCCCGCATACGAGTGTTAACTAACTGTCTAATCAAGAATACCTTATTAGACGCGGAAGGTTTCTCATACATGTTTGACAACGTTGTCATAACCCCACGAGCAGTGGTCTCTTTCAC